CCGATGCTGTCTTTCCCGGTCGCAGAGCCCGTCTCTCGTCAGCCGATTCAACACGCCGTGTACGCCGCGCACTGGGACTCGATGCTCACCAGCAAGTTTCGCTTTCTGGGAGCCTGCGACTCTGCCGTTCCGATGGTGTACCTCCTGCGCACCATCAAAAACATCGCCATACTGACCGACGTAGCAGAGGCGCTGACGGAGTCCTACAAGGCGGAGCGCGTCGGCCCAGGCGATACGCTAGCAGACGGCGTCGCGGTACCGGGTCTCACCACCACCTTTCGTAGGTCAACCACCGAGGCTGAGGTGCGTGGGCGACTGGCCCGGCTACTCTCCCCGGCGCATCACGCGCTCTTGTTTCACTACCTTTTCGCGCTCCCCTACACCGTCGGACACAACGACCCTCCCGCGGAAGCCGACAACACGCACTACAACTACCCGCACGAGATCGAGGTGGATGTGCGGCGGTGGCTGGACTGGGTGCAGCACCTCCCGGCGCTGTCCATCGTCTTCTTCGATGCTGAGGAGGCTTTCAAGAAGTGGGCTGGAGATGACCACACCTACGGGTCGCGCCACCTGGCGCAGCGATGGCGCGAGTTCACGACGGCGATGCAGACGCGCTACTCGGGCGGGCCGCAGTCGCTGTTTGACACCGTGGACCTCTTCGCCCTCTACGATCTCATGGGCACGGCCGGCACGAGCTTCCATAACCTGTACCCCACGCAGAGCGGGATTTACTATGCGGCCCTCGTGCAGAAGGAAAGGGAGAAGCGGCAGCGCGCCTTCCGCGATACATCGTCCATAACAGCCGAGCTGCTGTGGCGGGTCATAGCTCAAACCCATAATGAGGAAGGGGCAAAGGCAACGACGTGGACAGACAAATACGTGCGTCAGCTTGGGCTCTCTGTTGATGTCGCAATTGCAGCCTTGTCGAAGCAATACGTCACGAACCTCCTGGCCACCCCCTCCTCACGGCCAACTGTAGAAGCGCTCCCGCGGTCGTGGTTGCTGTACGGCTCACCCCATGAAATGCTGACGCTCCACCGGATTTCCTTAGCGGATTTTCAAAGCATTTATCATGACATGGGCGCCGTGGCCTCCGCACGGCAGTATGACAGCCTCAACCCAACGACGGTGAAGAGTCCAGACTTTGACTCCTACAAAAGCCTGCAGATGCTCAATACGAACATATTTTTCACACCGTCGCACGTCGCGCTGCTGCGACGCGCGAGCACGGACCCTGTGCTGGAGGATGACCATCTGCACTGGCTAGACACGCAGCGTGTTCTGCACCTCATCTCCTTCCCGTTCCCCAACTCCTGGCATGAAGAGAGCGACGACGGGCGTGATATTCACGATGGCACCACCGTGGACCTGGCGAACGTGCTATGGTCCACTATCCTGGAACTGGGTCACTACTGGACCGGTGAGGAGGAGGACTCTGCGTAAACGGCAACGTGGAGGTGGAGAAGGGATGAGGGAATGGAAGCTTTGCGAGGCGTTACCACGCGAACGTGGTGGTGACGGCTGTGCCTTCGGCCACAGCTCACAAGCCCGCAACCCTTCTCTTCGTGTTCTGCTCCCTTACCGAAGCAGTCGATTTCGATGGGTCAGAGAGACAGAGACCGGTGTATACCGATGTGTTGACTCTACGTTTGTTTGCTATGTGTTGAAAACTTTTCTACTCGTCTCTGCCAAGCCCCTATTCCTTTGTTCTTGTTGTTCTCCCCCGTACGGCTACACCGCATGGACCTGTGTGTGGGCGTACGCCTGTGCGTTGAACCTAGATGTGCATGCCCACCCTGCAAAAGCCCAACTCCCTTTCGAAGCAGCACGCTCATCTCTTCTCCTCTGCCACGCCTGACAAGGCGTCACCGAAGTTTATTTACAGCGTCAAGAAGAGCCGATGTATCGCGTTCCTTAGGTGTCTCTCCACACACGCACACACCTCCCTGATGGTGCCTGTGGAGGTCTCCGCGTCTTGCACTGTTCAAGCATCCTTCTCCCTCCCCACCCCCTACCCCCCTCTCGACTCGTCGCTGCCGTTGCGCCGTCATCAACGCTAAACAGAAGAATCCGCCCCTACACTTTGCCCTTCGATTGCTTTTTTGTTTGTTTGTTTGCTCCCCCCCCCCTCCTCTCCCCTCCATCGTCGTACCCCCGTACGCTCACACGCATCGTCCATGTCGCAGAAGTCGCTCTACATCACGCCCCGCGCGGTGCCCTACTGCACTCTCGCCATCGCCAATGCCTTCAAGGATTTGACCTCGAAGCAGCGGCACTACGCCCACCACATGATGATGGCCGGGTGGTGTGGCACCCCTGTCGTGGCGGAGCAGGTCAGCCCGGAGTCTCTTCCCCTCTTGCGCTTCTTCTACAAGTTTCTCAGTGCCCAGTCACTGGAGTCGCTGAGGGCAAACACGGCGAAGGCCGGCGTGGAGGCTGAGGCGGTGGACCAATTCCTCGAGTACTTTGCGATGGTCTACTCAAACATGGGCAACTATATATCCTTCGGTGACAGCAAGTTCATACCTGCCATCCCAAAGGAAACCTTCGCGAAGATCGTGGTGAGCGCCGGGGCCGGCCCGACCGCGACGGTCGCCGCCGACCTGCTGGACGCGATCTACGACCTGCAAGAGAGCAAACTGTCGCTGGACTTCCCCCCCAAAGGTATCACGCGTTACTACAGCCCCAACATCACGCGCGAGGAGGCGGTCGTCGCGAACGATTTTTTGGCTTCGAAAAAGATCGACGGCGTCAACACGCGCGTCTTCAAAGAGACGGACGGCACGCTGGTGATTCGCGTAGCGGCCGCGGAGGAGAAGTCGGTGCCGGCGGTGAACTTCAATGGCCGCGCCATTGCGATGTACTACGGGGACTACAAGGAGGAGATGGCTCGCGTCGTGGACGAGCTGCGCAAGGCGCGCGCGTACGCGGAGAACCCCACCGAGGTACGCATGCTGGACCACTACATCGAGCACTTCTTGCATGGTGACGTGGACGCGCACAAGGCGAGTCAGAAGGAGTGGGTGAAGGACGTGGGCCCCACCGTGGAGACGAACATCGGCTTCATTGAGTCGTACCGCGACCCGTCCGGCGTGCGGGCGGAGTGGGAGGGCTTCGTGGCGGTGGTGAACAAGGAGCAGTCGAAGATATACGGCGCGCTGGTGACGCAGGCCGAGAAGTTCATCGCGCAGCTGCCGTGGGGAGCGGCCTTCGAGAAGGACGTCTTCACCAGCCCGGACTTTACGAGTCTCGATGTGCTCGGCTTCGCCAGCAGCGGCATCCCCGCCGGCATCAACATCCCCAACTACGATGACATTCGCCAGAACGTCGGCTTCAAGAACGTCTACCTGTCCAACGTGGTGAGCGCCATCACCTTCAAGGAAAAAATCGCTCACATCACGGACGCCGACTGGGAGGTGTACAAGACCAGCGTACTCGCGGCGACGTCGGTGAACGTGGGCATCCACGAGCTGCTCGGCCACGGCACGGGCAAGCTGCTGATGGAGGGCGACGACGGCAGCCTCAACTTTGACAAGAACACCATCGACCCCATCAGCGGCCACCCGGTCTCGTCGTGGTACAGGCCCGGCGACACCTACTCTAGCGTATTTGGCGGCATGGCCAGCTCCTACGAAGAGTGCCGCGCCGAGGCCGTCTCGCTGTACCTATGTCTGCAGCCGGAGCTCTTGGAAATCTTTCTTCTCAAGACGGAGAAGGAGCAGCAGGACGCGATTTACATCTGCTGGCTGAACATGGTGCGCGCCGGGCTGTGCGGGCTGGAGTTCTACACCCCGGAGACCCAGCAGTGGCGGCAGGCCCACATGCGGGCGCGCTTCTGTATTCTCGAGGCCCTCGCACGCGCGCCGAACCCGATCGTCCACATCACCGAGGACGAGAAGGAAGGCCTCCTCATCACCCTCGACCGCGAGCGCATCGCCACAGATGGCCGCAAGGCTATCGGCGATCTTTTGGTGAACCTGAACGTGAACAAAGCCACGGCGAACGCGACACGCGGTGGGGAGTACTACAACAACATGACGGCCGTGAACGACACCTACGTGCGCTACCGCGAGATCGTCATGGCGCGCCGCAAGCCGCGCAAGCAGTATGTGCAGCCGCACACCCGCATCGCCGGTGACTCGGTCGAAGTTGAGGAATTCGCAGGCTCGGTGGAGGGCGTCGTAAAGTCGTTCCTGACCCGCCACAGCGTGGTGCCCCTGTAAAGGAGGTGCAAAGATAAGAAAAGAACATGTTAACCAGCACGACCGCTGCGCACTGATATATTTATTTATGTTTGAAAGACGCTATGTAGCTGCACACCAGCTGTGAAACTCTGCAGCGATGTGTAACTACAGACACATGTGCGCGGGGGGAGATGTTCAGTGTGCGCGCGGCCCGGCACACAGCTTTTTGTTCACCTCTCGGTCGTTCTCCGTTGAACGAAGTGAAGAACGACAGCGTTCCCGCGCCTGCAGTCTCCTAGGATAGCGTCCCGGATTTGTTTTTGTTTTTGTTTTTGTTTTCTCCGTAATTCCTGTTACATTGGTGGACACCAACTAGAACTACTGCACATTTGATTAAACTAGTTCTTTGTACAAGTTGCCGTTTAGCGCCCCTTAACAACAGCCTTGTACTGCATTGTTTTCTGTTTTTGTTTTTCCTCTGATACCAACGACGTTGCACTCGATGACCTTAACCCTGTGCTTGACATAAACTTTCTTTGGCCCGCCGAGAAACGAAGCCCGATTTAAAACAAAAGAAAAGAAAACGAAGGAGTAGCGGTGCCCCAGCGAAGACACGCGCACGTGTGGTGCTGGGCGCTGGGGCTGAAGCCGTCGCTCCCACGTCGACACACGCCGCCGCTCGCTTTGACAGAAGAAGAAAAAACGCGTGGCATCTCCCCTCTACTTCACCCTCCACACGTCCACCCACACCTGCGCGCCACGACCCACCTGAGGCGATCGAAAAAGCCGCTTCACATAAAAAAAAGAGGCTTTGCGACGACGCGTGGGGCTCAAGTGCTGACATGCTCCGCGGTGCGATTCTGCAACGGCAGACGCGCGCGGGGTGGGCTGTTCCGTTGCCGGCCTGACCCGATTTCCCTACTTTAACGGCGGGCGCGCAGCACCCCTCTACAGGAGGTCGCGCCGCACCGACACACAGCCAAGCAGAACACCGCGTCAACGCAGCAAGACACCCTCGCTGATCCACGTCCTCCCCGCTCCACCTCTGAAGCCCCCGAAGGTTACAGAGCAAAGCTCCGGCTTAACTGGTGGAGAGCGGCCTTGGCATGGCGGGGCCCCTTGACCGCACCCACTGTTTCTATAGTTTATGCACCAGAAGACCCTCACCCGCGCGAACCCCCCCAGCGTAGCCCAACGGGAAGCGCATCTGCCTACAGACCACGGGGTCGTGTGTTCGAAACCTATCCTGGTCATTTTTCTTTTTTTTAATCCCCTGGGGGAGGGGGCCACTCCCGTCCGGCGGGGCGGGTTCCCCGTGGGGCAGGGCCGCCTGCCCCAGCCCCCGGGCCGCGGAAGGCGCCCCCCCCCCACACAGGAAAGCGGACCAAGCCGAGGGGAGGAAACGCTGCAAAGCACACGAAACACCAACCCCACGCAAACACAACGCGCGCACACACTGGCAGAGCTCGAAAAGGCAACTTCCACCCCACCCATCCACTAAACACGCAACCCATTCACACAATATGCCTCATTTACAGAGACCTACCCAGCGCAGCCACCAAAGAATCAAACCAGGACCACAACGACCTCAGGACACCAGACATAAACACCCGTACAAAAACCAGAAGTTGTCGTTTAAAGGATAAAATCTAGGAAAGAACACACCGTTTTCCCTCCAAAATCGAAAAAAAGCCTAAAGATGCACTGTCTAGCACAAGAACCAATTGAACAAGAGCTCAGCAAACAAAAGTGCCGCTGTGAGTGAACAACCCCAGAATTCCAACACGAAGCAGAAACAGAGTAGAATAACCACACATACAAGAACAATACATAAAACGCGTACAGTGATTTAGTTTTAAAAACATCAAAATACACAAAGGCGGGCACAACAGCCACCGATAGCAAAAAGTCTGTTTGAGCCCACTCTGCCATACATCTGCCCGACCCGACTATGCAAAGCTCATCAGCGTCGCTGAAATTGCTTCTTGTCGAAAATGTAAACATACGACGAACTGTTACTCGCTGCAGAAATTTATAACACTTCCTATAAAAACCGTTGAAGTGCTTTCGGCACGCAGAGTTGCAGCAACGGCTGTCAACACAATATTACCAGCGGGGGAAGCAGCAATGGTCGCTTACAAAGACGAAAACAGCAATGACAAGAGACACTGCAGGACAGACACGCATAGAAAAAAAAATGTACACAGTATTGTTCCCGTCAAAAGCAGTACACAAAGTCTACCCAAAAAGGAGCCGCGGTGGTAGGGCGCGGCAGGTGCAGTAACGTCGGCCTCCTTAATACCATATTTCACTCATTTTTCTCTAAATTAAAGTTATTCTAGCTTCTTTAGCCACTATTTCTTGCTCTTTGGTGGTGAAAAGAACATGGAAGTAGACCATTTGAGTAGTCAAAACGTTGTTAGAATCTAGGTAAATATACGACACGTCGGGGAGAAAGGGGGGGGGGTCTTGCACTGAAAAAGGCATCATAAAAAAAGATTATTGGAGAACAGAAAAATTGTGGCGGTTTACACGTTCTAATAGTGGAGTAAATTTAGCAACGTGTGTGTGTGTGTACACTTGTCGTTTTATTGCAATTTTTCCCGCAATTATTAAAGCGTTTTTGTTCTGATGTATGTCCATTTCACATGCCTCTCAGTCTTCGGTGCCGGGCGGGGGTGGTGGTTGCGGGGGTTGGCTCAAAGCTTTGAGGGGGTAGCTTTATCGGAGCTAAAAAGCCGTAAAAAAGACAACAAATGGTACTGCAATTGCATGGCGAACCTTTTCTCTGTTTTCTGTAATCTCAATCTCTCTCTAGCTGTCCGGTTCTTCATTCAATTTTGGACGCGGGGTTTGGTGCACAGTGGGGCGGTGCAGTCCCGGTTTTGCCCATGGCGCGGGGGCTGCCGCCACAAGAGATGGGGCGGGGGCCGCCTGGCATCTCACCCTCCGTCGGTGTTAAACAAACAGTAAGAAATTGTTTGTTTAAATGTGTTACATATCTCTATAGAAGTGAATTTTCTTGTACGGTTTCCTTTTTCTGACGGCGGGGGTTCTTTTTAAATAGCCTTTGCGAACTTGTTTGCCACAACATTGGTTATTATTATTATTATTCTCCCCCCGCGTTTGGAGCGACGGGGGCGGCACCTAGTGCTGTCCCTGCGAAGGCGATGAGTTGCTTAGAGTGTAGAAAACGCCAAAAGTGGTCACCGCGGAGCACTGCGGTCGATACCGCGAAGCGAGAGCGACACTGAGAAAGAGCACGACACATTAGCATGCGGCTGATCGTTTCAGGGGCGCCTTGAACGGGGTCCGTGGACGAACTTGCAGCTGGACCAGGGATGGTAGAACGCCTAATAGGATGGGATACCCTATGTTGGCACCGATCTGGATTGGAGGGACACCACGTCACATGGTTTCCTCTACTCTTTCTCGAAGGGAAAGGCCCACCGCAGAAAGGGCAGAAACATTCCCCATCCACAAGCGGGGGCTTGTCAGGGTGGATAGATCTTACGTGTGATTGTAGGACCTGGAAGCTTGCAAAGCTTAATGAGCAGTAAGGACAGGTTTCTCGGATACGGCGAGTCCGAGGGCGAGCGTTAGCAACGATCGTCTCCGTTACAGGCGGTCCGCCCAGTGCGGTAGCCTGCTCCTGCGATAAGTTGCACCAGCGACAGCGGTTGGTGCAATCTCTCACAGCCCAAAATAGTCGGCCAAAGCAGGGGTGTTCGCCACAGCGTATTCTTGCCAGCTCCACTTCTTCCTGACGAGTCAAGGGTTCCCCCGTTAACAAGTCAGTGGAGGAAAGGTCAGCGCAACGATCGCCACATAATTGATAGCGATGCGTATCTCTCCTCAGTTGCAGGCGCCACTTAGCAAGCAGCGACCTGGTGAGAAGAGAGCGAAGATCGATGAGCCAAACCGGATGTACTTTAGGAGAGGTATAGAGACCCTCGGTTGCTGCGGCGATAGCAGCTGTGTTGGCAACCTCATTACAAGGCACCCCTACATGTGCATACACAAACTGAAGGTGAATTCTCCAACCTCTATTAACCAGGAGTACGAGGGAGGACCAGATCTCACTCTCAACCAGAGAGCGCTGGCGCAAGGGGCCTGTACCAAGAGCAGCCAGTAGGGACTGGCTATCGGTCACGTGGAGAAGTGACCGTTGTTCTCTGGGCACACGATCTGCGATGGGGAGGATGAACTGTTGAAGGCCTCTGAGCATTGCAATACTCTCCGTCCGGTAGCTGCAAGCTATGGGGCCACAATCCTCTGTAAGTGTGCGGTAAGCGGTCGTACTAAAAGGACTGCTTAGCAGGACAGCCGCCGCGGCAGAGCAATGCTCGGAAACATTGGAGCTGCCGTCGGTGGCCATGATGTAGGACATCACGGATAAACAAGAGAGGGCGTCCATAGAGGCAGTGTGTTTTGCCACTAGCAGATCGTCCTCTGTCTTGATACTGACATAATCCAATGGTAACTCAAAACCAATGGAGACTCTGTAAACTTCGCCACAGTGCCAAGGCGCATATGGAAGACGTTGTAGAGGGGCCTCGATGAGAAGGGTGGGCGGGAGCCCATTCTCAATCAATAGTCCAGTAACAAAATTATCCATTTCGACCCTACTCACCGGCGAGAAACGGAAGTTGAATGGCGGCGGCTCGGGGGGGGGTCTTCGGGCCCACCCGGTCTCATGGAACTTGGATAGTTCATAGAGAACGAGCCTTCTTCGCAATACTTTGATGTGCAGCGGCAATGAGTTGGATTCGAGCAGTACTGATTCCTCATCGGAGGTAGAGGGAAGGCCAGCAACAAGCCGATGAAGGCGAGTATGCTGGTTGATCAGTTTATTTTTGCCCGTATCCTCCATTGTCCCCCATCCAACCGCGGATCCATACAGTAATTTGGAGTCGCCGTAGCCAGAGACAAATTGCCGCAGGCCATGGGCAGATGGACCAAAGTGATGGTTCGCAAGACAACTCAACTGCGCTTCGCGCAGGCGTGCTTGTTTTTGTACATACGCTGCATTGACGTTGTACTTAGCGCGAGTGTCTAGTTGGAGGCCAAGAAGCTTGGGACTCATGCTGTCTCCGAAAAGTGCAACATTTATCTCGTGCCCCCTGAAGTGAAGTGGGTCAGGCACTCTGTCTTCATCGGTGTGACTCGAGAGTGTGCATAGTAAGGCTTCACACTTGTGTGGATTTACCATCATGCCGTTGTCTTGCGACCACACTGCTACTTCTTCCAGAACCACATTGCCGGTCCTGACACCAAGTCTCCTCTCTCTACAGGGAATCGTGATGGTCAGGTCATCCGCGTACATGTCGAATTGTACATCCGGGAATCGGGCGACCAACCGCTCTAAGAGAGGGGTGGTATACATGGAGAACAGCTGGGGCCCGAGTACAGTGCCTTGAGGGACACCGCTCCTCTGGTCATACTGTTTACTGAAACGGTTACCGAGCTTCACTCGTGCACCACGGTGCACAAGGAAGTTTCGCAGCCAGTGTTTTAAAAGGGTGCCTGGGAGGCTCTTCAGCCTGTCGCCCAGGATCGATAGATCAAGGGTGTCAAAGGCTTTGCTGAAATCCACGAGGATGATCAGCGTCCGCATCACGCGGTAGTGAACCTGTTGGCCCTTACCGCTTCGCTTGTCCAGCATCACACGGTAATAGATGTCTCGATCTATCTCAACCGTATCAGTGATTCTGGCAAGCTCCATTTCAGTGGTGCGGCCTCGCCTGTACGCGTATTGACAGGGGTGTGGTTGCCAAACGTGTAGCAGGCGTGCTGACACCATGCGCTCCATGAGTTTTGAAACGCAGGAAGTGAGGCTAATGGACCTATACGATGAAGGTTGATCTGTCGGTTTCCCAGCCTTTGGTAGTGGTACAGCGTGCGCGTTTTTCCACTGCTGGGGGACGTGGTGGGTGAGCCACATCCTATTTATGAGAGTTAACAGGTGCACCTTCGCCTCTCTCGGGAGGTGGTGCAGCATCTCGTTGAGGATGCCGTCGGGGCCAGCTGAACGGCTGTCTTCGAGGCGAGCCAATGCTGCATCCATTTCG